GGAGCTTTAACCCAGAGATGTCGTTTTCCTGCTATTCTTGTAACGGAAGCAAGCCACAATGCAGGCACTAAACGTGAATGCACGTCTTTCAATAGTTAAAATGTCAAACTTATTGCATGCAGTAAAATAAGGATGATTGGATTGATATGTCCAAGAAGCCCGCAAATGCCAGGTTTTTTGTAGCGATCGACATTGCCAAGGTTCTGAGTAAAAGTGCGTCAGGCTCACAGATTTTCTCGAGAACTATTTTCCTCGTTAAAATGGAAAATGAACCCATGCGAGCAGTTGACTCAGTCCGTAATTCCCAGTCGTTGGTTTACATTGACGTTAATCGCGCGAGGCCTGTCCGTCGTATGTGGAGCACTGCACTGGGGCCGTCACCCGGTACAGCACAGATGCGCCGATTGGCCGCTTAAGTGCCGTGATTGGCCGGGTGCGCTCAGCCGGCCAGGCCGTCGGACCTCGATACTAGGTCTGCTGCCGGTCCGCGTTCGCCGACAAACGGGTACGAGCTCCGCCCCAGCTGTGGCCCTCTAACTAAGGGGCTAACTTACAACACGAAGCATTCCAATGCCGTGCATATGCGTTGATATGAGAACAGTGTTGCCAGAGACGACTGGATCAGGCCAGTCCTTGGTTTTGTGGCCGTTGCTTGTGATCGAGTGTAGACAATTATTGCGATTTGGTCAACAAACATCTTTGAGACGTCTTTGTTACGAACACATTTGGTTATCCTGCAGCACTATAAAATCATTTAAGTTTCTTACTGCATGGATTCACTACATGAATTTACTGCATTTACTGCATGAATTGAAGCCGTGGAGCGGTAGACGGTCGCCTTGATTTGGAGGTGTCCTTTGGCGCATATCTTTCAAAACATGCTGCTCTTGAAGCCAGACAACTTCAGGGGGACGTCAAGCAGACGGACATACAGACGCGATCGCGTCGTTATAATGATGCCTTTGATGTCCGTGGCCGGTCTTACAAAATGAATTTTTGCATGAAAACAGGACACGCTTGCGAGGACAGCGTGGCTGTAATGAATCTTGACGGCATTACGGATCGCTGGAATCAACATTTGCTGACTGTTCAAGAAAGGTGCGCTTCGCCAGCGATCTTGTTTTGAATCGAAGCTAACTCACACTTCTTACCGCAACTCTTACCACTCTCACCGTCCTTACCACATCTCTTAGACTAGCCAAGCAGAAATGCTATGCTGATGAAATCATTAAACATTCCGGTAACTCCTAGGAAACATGGAAAACAGTACACTCCCTCATAAATTCAAAGCGAAAAAGGATGCCGATCCAACTAGGATGAGTGAGGCTAATAGCAAAATGATCACAGATGATCAGGATATCGCAGAATCACTTCATTTCTTTTTCACTGAGATTGGACAACAGTTAAAGGACAATATTCCTAGACCATCATCCAGCCCATTCCAGTTCATCGCAAATACAGAATTAATGGATCTACCCCCCACTAACGGAGCAAACTTAATTCTTATCATTAATGGACTAAACAATGTCGGAGCTGGAGTTGACAATGTAAATGAAAAAATCTTCAATATATGTTATAGGGTAATACTCAAAGCAATTTTCCATCTTTCAACAGCTGTTATCATCAGGGATATTTCCAGGCATTTTTTTTTAAAAGCCGTGATTACACGCATCTTTAAAAGGAGAGACTGTCAATTTGTAGATAACTACAGACCTACGAGTATTCTGCTGCTTGTGTCCAAAATTCTCCAAAAACTCATCTATGTATATATATATATATATATATATATATATATATATATAAGATTATATATATATATATATATATATATATATATATATAAGATTCATCCTTCATCTAAACCAAAATCACCTAATTCACTAAAATCAGTTCGAACTTCAGAAGAACAAAGGTACCTACATGTCAACTCTTATTCTCCAGGAAACCATCACTAAGGCTTTTGAGAACGGAGAATATGTGCTAGGTTTGTATTTAGATTTTAAAAGCATTTGACACTGTTGGCATAAACCTTCTTCTACGTAGACATAATAAATATGGTATTCGACGAAAATATCATGACGTCATTTCTTCATATTTCCCTGCTAAAATGCAATGCGTCAAAATCAGGAATTACCCATCATCATTCAAGAACGTAACGATGGTTATATCCCAAGGAGCAATTCTCGGCCCAATTATGTTCATAATGTACTTTAATGACTTGTCTAAATTAAGTAGTATCACGATTTGCCTCTCTTACACCGATAAGCTGCGATTATTTTCAAAAATAAAAGCATTGTGGAGCCTCAAAACGATATCAATGCACTTTTCCTTCTCATGACTTCCTCATCTAGTGCTAATTTTCTTTCACTGAACGTATCATAAATATTTACACCGATTTATACTATCATTTCGTCGCATTTCCAGCTAAATGTGCAAATTGATAATTCACCTATTGAGGAGAAAAAACAAGCACCTTGGTGTGCTCATTGACAAGTCTCTTAAATTTACGCGTCACCTTAATTTCGTTGCAAGCATATTAAATAGAAATATTAAAATAATAAGTAGGACTAGGTACATCAGTGATAAAACAACGTCACATCTACTCTATAACACTTTATATTCTTTTTTTAAAATTACTGCTGCTTGATTTGAAGTGTCAGTCATGTTTCTCAACTAGACTAGTTAGTAATTTTGGAAAAAAGGCTGTGTGCCTGATGGAAAACATGCACCATCCACAAAGCTTCGAGGCAATTTTTATGCGATACAAAATTTTGAAGTAATAAATATATCTAAATCCCACATGCTAATTGTGATACACAAATTCTAACTTTACAGCTTCCTGTATCATTCGATTTAATATACCAGCTCTACGAATCAAATAAAGTGGATATGAGGCCAGTAAAACATGTAGACTAAACTTTTTCTTATCATAGTTGTGAGCTATTTGCAACATCTTCCATGGGCCCTAAGCTGTGGAACGATATTATGATTTCATATTTTCCAAGAATAACTGATATTTCCGCATTAAAAACTCTCGTTAAGAACATCCACAAGCATTTCGTGAATACATATTAACGTAGCCAACATATTTGAGGATATCGCAATTTTTTGCCCTGCACGTATTCATCTCACTTCATATTCAGCATTCTTCATGCTCCATAATCACGTTCTGAAATAGTGATGTTTGTGCACTTGTACCCAAATCCATGGCGCTGGCTCCGGGAGTTCTCGCAGCAACAAGCTCCGCTTAGCTGGGTGGACTCCCTGGACATCCAGCTCAAAACCCAGCACGAAAGTGACCAGTTAATTGTCCCTCCGACTTGCGTGATCGTACAACCCTTACTAACACTGTGACTGAGTGGTTGTAGCTTATTGGAGGGTTCTAGCGGGCGTCGTTAGCTGACTTTGACTGTGACTGCCTTAAGCCTTCTCATGTGTGATTTGGACTTGCCTATTGCATAGCACAATTCCTGCCGGGTCTGCACCACCTCCTCGCCTGCTTATTTATGTTTGCTTCTTCTTCCTAGCTGGGAGTGCCGCGACTTGATTTGAGGTTTTCTGGTGTTAACGTACGGTTTATGGCGTCGCTGGGATAGAGGGAGTGACGCTCCTGGTTACCTGTTTTTGGGTAACGGTGTGGAAAAATGGTTATGCTGAGTTTTGAATGGTCATTTCCAGTTACTTTTCTTTTTACACCGTCCCAAGTTCTAGATCATCACCCGATGCACGAATCGCTCGGTTCAAGGTTACTAGTGTGGTAAATAAGTGCCTTCCATTTCCTAATATAAAAGGTTTTAGAACACTTCACTTCACGCCACAAGCTGTCGTGAATACCGCATTTACTGTACTGACAAGTACCTCAGTACCTACTGAGTACCAGCAAGATGAGGGGCGGCGCCTGTGGCCCTTCGCATTTGGCAGTGCTCACCAAAACACACACGTGCGTGTGGGCCACGGTACCTGTCCTTGCCTTTATCTCCGTCTCTGTTTCTGTCTCTGTCTCTGTTTCTGCCTCTGTATCCGTATATTTCCCTATATCTGTATTCTTATCTATATCTGTATCTGCATCTGTATTTCTGTCTCTGTCTCTGTCTCTGCCTCTCTCTGCCTCTGTATTTCTGCTTCTGTCTCTGTTTCTCTGCCTCTGTCTCAGCCTTTCAGCTGCCTCCTGTATCTCTGCCCGTTTGTCTCTTTGCGTCTTTGCCTCATTGTCTCTGTTTCTGTCTCCTGTCTCGGTTTCTCTGTTCCTGTCTTTGTCTTCAGTTTTGGTTTTGGCTTTGGCTTTGGCTTTGGCTTTGGCTTTTCTTTAATCCAAACCCCGCCTCAAACGCACACACGCCGTCTCCTTCCCGTTTTCTCACTCTCGCTCCCTGCCTCCTTTCCTTGCCCGCCGCCGCCGCCGCCGCCGCCGCCCTGCGCCCACCTGCTCCGACCCGTCCCGCATCTCTGGCGCTGGGGCGCCAGAGATCGGCTTTTCTGGCCCGCCAGAGGCCGGCATCTTTGGGTCGCCAGAGGTCGGCTTTTCTGGCCCGCCAGAGGCGGGCGTCTTTGGGTCGCCAGAGGTCGGCTTTTCTGGCCCGCCAGAGGCCGTCATCTTTGGGTCGCCAGAGGTCGGCTTTTCTGGCCCGCCAGAGGCCGGCATCTTTGGGTCGCCAGAGGTCGGCTTTTCTGGCCCGCCAGAGGCCGTCATCTTTGGGTCGCCAGAGGTCGGCTTTTCTGGCCCGCCAGAGGTCGGCATCTTTTCGGCCGCCAGAGGCCGACTCTCCGGGCCGCCAGAGGCCGGCTCTCTAGCTCTCCAGAGGCCAGCTTCTTGGGCGGCCAGAGACCGGCTGTCCTCTCTGGGCCGCCAGATGTTGGCATGTTTGGGCCGTCAGAGGCCAGCTGTCTGGCCCGTCAGTGGACGGCTCTTTAGGCCGCCGAAGGCTGGCTCCCTGGGTCGCCAGAGGCCGGCCTCTCTGGACCGCACTTTCAGACTGATAGCGGGCCTCGCTCTGCTTCAGACTGTTTCTGCTGGGTCTGCTGGTCGCCGCCGGCCCGGCAGCCGCCCAGCGCCCCCGGACTCCGCAGCGGCAGGCTAAGCCCGAATATGGAAACTACCGGCCACCGCCGCAGGTCAGCCTCCCAGCGCACGCGGGCTAGCGGCTCGCCAGACTGCTGAGGTGAAAACCCATGGTCGCCAGTAGGACATGTGCTGACAAACTGTAGATGAAGATGAGTTGAAGAACTGTAGCGATGCTATTATTTCAGCGCATTGCATGCAATATGTTTTTGTAACGCTGCTTTAGGTATTGATGGAATAATGTCGCTGAATTCCTTGGTAATGAATTATATGATCCATTTCCTACGAACATCCGTATGTGTGAGTCATCCGTTCAGCTTGGCCAGGCCGCCTTCCATGCACGGAAAGTGGTGCAACAAAACATTTCTTGGTGTGGACTGCCGAGGCGGGGGGGGGGGGGGGGGGGCATTATTACGTCCATTGACACAAAAGCATGCGGCTGACCAAATTTAAACTACCGCATTGGACAGTGGCACGAGACACGACTGTGAAGCCGGAGCGGCTTGCTGCTAGTCCTACGTATATGAGGCGAGTTCTTGGCTAAATATGCATGAGGATACATGTTTGGTGCCCGTAATTACATCGCATCTATTTTGTATTATGTCATGTATTTTATATCATTTGATTTATACTAGTATATTTCTCTATTATACCTTTACCTTCGTGATATACCTACAGGTGTGTTCAGTGCCTCGGGGGACAAGGGTCCTGCCGTGCTTACCCGCCTACCGTGCTTATCCACTTACCGTACCTACCGGATGTTTAGAAATTACGATGAAACAAAAGGAATGTGGTGGGGGCCAAGGTAAAGAGAGTGCGCTGCTGAGCCTCGCCAAGTTTTGCGGTAAATTATTTCTGACCATTTCAACAAAAAACACCTTTCTCGCCATTTTTGGTCAAGGAAAATGCCTACATTTTTGAAGATGACACCAAAGCACACGGTGGACGTCGAGGCGAAGAGAATATGTTGACGGACCTCCCCGAACTTTACTGAACAGTCGTGTAATGGACGATACCCCTCTGCCCTTTCCCATCCTCCCTGAGTACGTCCCTGCTACATATCGTATGTGCCTTTCTACAAAACTTCCAAATGTTGCCCGTTTCTCAGGCGCCATTCCATTTCAGGTCCTCCGAAATATAACGTTTTCATTTTGGCGAAATTCTGGATCTTCCGTCTGTAATGATCTTCTGAATATTTTATGAAAATTGTCATTTACTTAGCGACGAAGTGAGGACCATTTCCAAACTTCAGTGTACTGGTCATAGCACCTCGGAGGCGGAAACCAGTGTAACCACTCAACCAGAACAACGTTCTAGTGATAAATACGTGCAAGATCGTTGCATCAGGCTCATGCAGTGTAGCACTCGAAATTCTATTTGAGAACGCAATTAAAGTAAACCAAGGCATAAACTTCGCCCATCCAACGATATTTTCATCGCTTGCATTTTGAGTTCTATCACAAGATCAACGGACTTCTTCTTTCCTTGAACCAGCTCAGGCCTGAGGGTCAAGAGCGAGTTGGTGCGATGTCGGAGGAGGGGTGACAGGTAATGACTGTCATTTCACCTAACGACTCTGAAGTAACAACAGAGCATTCCTCATTTCGCCCTAGGCATCAGAACATTGTCGAGAATGTGACCTAGACTGAGAACGACTTATACTTAGACTTACTGCCTCTGTCCGGAGCCAGCACTGGCGAGGACGCGTCATTTTTGCTCACTGCTGAAGACTCTCTGCTCTGTGCACTGCTCACTGTTCTTTGTTCATTTGTTGAAATGGCCGCTTGATTTCGTAGAAAATCTTTCTGTTGTAAAGTTCGTTGAAACTGATATTATAAATTCACTCGAAATATGACCTTATTTCGTTTTCTCACATTTTACGGAACTCTATGAAACTACGTCTAGGAGATCCATAAAGACTGTAAAAAACGCCGTTCTTGGTGTGGATGTTCGGCCCTCGCTCTTCACAGAGCTTCTTCTCGCATCGTATCGTATCGTGTACTGTATCGTGCCGTACATGATAGGTTATGAAAAATACTCACCCAGCTGCGGAAGTGAACTCTGTGGGGCTAAACCCAGCGTGCTGTGACTCTAGCTAACGTCAAGCGATGTTTCTTATGTACGGGTCACGCCCTGTTTGTCTCGGCAGCACAGCTGTATGACTTGTTACTGGCGCCGAGGAATATCGAGACGGCTAGCGATTTCGAGAATTTCCAATGTACTTCAGTCGAATTGTGAATTGTGGCTCATCCGTCTGCGAACGTGGGTCAAAGTAGAATCAACCCGGTGATACTGACCGGGGCTATCGCTGGCTGTTAAGAAAAGCCATGATCCGACGATGACATGAGATGCGTGGCTTACTGACTCGCGAAGACTTTTGGTGGCGTTCAAGTCGTAGTGTTTCACAGCCCGTTTCAGTGTCCTGATGACTGTCTTGATGACTGCTGAGGGGTGTGCGTGGCGTCTACTGTCTGATATGTCATCTCAAAGGCGCGCAGCAAAGGCGCCTCGGTAACCTGTCTCGTAACCAATCGGTACGTAACCAAACGGTAACCAATCTCGGTAACCTGTTGACCGTCTCGTTACCTATAGACGAGTATTTCCCGACCTTTTCGTGTCTATTTTCTTCTCACGATTGATCTAGCTATGATTTTCCAGGGCCAAATAGCGAAACTCGATTTGAATAAGTTGTGCGCACTGTCATCTCCCACTGTGAACAGGTCGTATCATTGGCGGACAGGTTCAGAGAAGTGCACTGCACACCACCTGCACGGCCACCGTCACGATTTCTCTGACTGATTATTTTCCCTCGGGAAAAATCCTCTAGTTGGAAGCGCCGGCCGCAGACCGTCTCAGCGGCGTCGTCGGCCGCCGTTGTCGTCAGCCACCGCACTGCATCAATACAGTACAATACAACACAGAAACGCGCCGTTTTGTTCGGCAGCAATGTAGCGCGGTAGCCGCTCGGGTCGACCTGGTGTCCGGCGTGAGCGACAAGATCAACGGCGCGCTCTTCTTCTACCAGGAGTGCCCCAGCCACCCGGTCATGGTCACTGGTGCGTGCGCACGTGTGGGCGAGCTAAGGCGGTACGCGCTCCATTTGCTGCGGTACCCACTGTCAGCTATTACGCTGGAACTGTTTATGGATTAAAGCGAACATCCCGCGTTTCTTGAGTGACTTGTGAAACGTTCTATGGAAGTTCACCAAATGTTCAGTATCTGAATAGACCAAACCGACACGTTTTAAACGGCAAAGGTGTTCAGCGTTAAACCAAAACACGGAGTTCGAATGCCATCAGACAAGGTTTGTAAAGCTAGGTTTGCCTACTAAGAGTAGCAATCACAGTGTCTTCCCTGCTTTTTATGCGCAAATTATCACCCAGATACTCAATTTAGCTACAGTTAGCTTCTTCTTGTGACAGGCAACACCCTGCTTTTGTTTTGCACCACTGGCTGGCTAAAGAAGCAGACAGGTTCTGCTTTCTAGTGACGTCACGCATAACACAGTACCGCCAGGTGAATACATTTTTCGCTTCATTTAGCGTAGCAATATTGTAACCAAGGGAGGGGTGGACACACACAAATTCCAAAAATGCGCATCACGATGCATCGCCGGTACTTGATTACCGTTGGCTATCACTATACATCACCTTGCACGTTTTAAGACATCCTTGATTATTTTTGCTTTGTTTCGAACGCATATTTCCGTTCATGCATCCTGCAATCTTGTTTAATTTGGCCCCAGCGGAAGTGATACCGGATCTGAATTGCAGCATATTAGGCCTAGACCGACCTTAACTTCAAGCAGGATAACGTAAGTTGTTCGGTGCACTAGCGAGGAACGTTATCCACATAGATAAGACAGTAGTATTAGCATTATTCGTCGGAGAAAAACCAGGGGAATGGAGATGTAGTGCGGCTGATATTTTGGCAACATGCCTTTATTGAAACAATAGCAGAAGATAGCAAAGACTTCTGCTATTGTTTCGATAAAGTTATGTTGCCGAAATATCAACCGAACTCTATCTCCATTCTTCTGGTTGTTCTCCGAAGATTAAGGTTAATACTTCTGTCTTATTTAAGCAGCATAACCCAATATTAAATCGGTTTAAGTATCGACGGAATATATGGTGTTATTTCGAATCAGATCGCGATGGAGTCGATCCAGATGCAACTGGTTTAAAATGTAGCTTATGGATGGTTAAACAAACGCGCTTTTGACTTAGTTTTATAAAGCTGCAGCACTCGCTTTTTGACGTAGTTTTTGATAAGGCTGCAACGCATGCAGGGCTCTGTGTGCTGGACACGTAGCATCTGTTACCAGAAATGCATTCGTCACAATTCACATTTCTATGTGAGTACACAAATCTAGAGTCTAGCTCGAATAGCTGGCTCAGCTCCGACCTCAGCAAACTGTTCACCTTGACATCCCACGATTCCACTACGACTCACTAAAAATATATCCGATCCCGATGCCGAATCCGACTCTGGACGACGTCAAACACAGGTCGAGCTATTTTAGGATACACCGGTGTTTTACTCGTCTAGCTATTGAATGGACCCAGATATGTGCTACGTGACCAGCTAAAAACGGAGTGCCCTCGATGCGCTTTCATTCATAAGTCTTGTTTTACCTTCACGCGCTTCCATACGCATTTACTTATCCATGTTGCGTATTATTGCATGGCTCATGATATTTGCGCTCGGTATGCTCCATGCCACACCAGGAGCTGCAGTTTCAAATGAATACCTACATGCGATTTTGATTTATTTCTTAGATTACGCGAGCCGTGTAGTTTGTCGCAGACATTTCATCATCCGGATGGGACATGTCGAGCCGCGCACCATCATGACTGGAGCGTACTGGAGTGTCCCTGACCGGCGGTGTGTTTTCAGGTCGCATCTCGGGTTTGACGCCGGGCAAGCACGGGCTGCACGTGCACGAGCTGCCCAACTTGGGCGAGAAGTGCTCGGACGCTGGAGGTCACTACAACCCGTTCCAGGTCCACACTGGGTCACGCGCCGCGGTGTCGGAACCGGCCATCCCGGGGCCGGGACCAGCCATCCTGGGGCCGGAACCAGCCATCCCGGGGCCGGAACCAGCTGTCCGGGGTCGGAGCCAGCCATCCTGGGGCCGGAACCAACCAGCCCGGGGTCGGAACCAGCTGTCCGGGGCCGGAGCCAGCCATCCCGGGGCCGGAACCAGGCATCCCGGGGCCGGAGCCAGCCATCCCGGGGCCGGAACCAGCCATCCCGGGGCCGGAGCCAGCCATCCCGGGGCCGGAACCAGCCATCCCGGGGCCGGAACCAGCCATCCCGGGGCCGGAACCAGCCATCCCGGGGCCGGAACCAGGCATCCCGGGGCCGGAACCAGCCATCCCGGGGCCGGAACCAGCCATCCCGGGGCCGGAACCAGCCATCCCGGGGCCGGAACCAGGCATCCCGGGGCCGGAACCAGCCATCCCGGGGCCGGAACCAGCCATCCCGGGGCCGGAGCCAGCCATCCCGGGGCCGGAACCAGCCATCCCGGGGCCGGAACCAGCCATCCCGGGGCCGGAACCAGGCATCCCGGGGCCGGAACCAACCATCCCGGGGCCGGAACCAGGCATCCCGGGGTCGGAACCAGCCATCCCGGGGCCGGAACCAGGCATCCCGGGGTCGGAACCAACCAGCCCGGGGTCGGAACCAGCTGTCCGGGGCCGGAGCCAGCCATCCCGGGGCCGGAACCAGCCATCCCGGGGCCGGAACCAGGCATCCCGGGGCCGGAACCAACCAGCCCGGGGTCGGAACCAGCTGTCCGGGGCCGGAGCCAGCCATCCCGGGGCCGGAACCAGCCGTCCCGGGGCCGGAACCAGCTATCCCGGGGTCGGGACCAGGCGTTCGGAGGGTCCAGAACCGAAGGAGATGCACTCTTGGATGATACTTTGTGTCGACTTGTGGAGTACCCTCGTCCCCCCCCCCACACACATTCACTCAGTGCCTTGTGCTGCTCCTCCCCCCCCCCCGTCCTGGTCTCGAGCTGGTGGTATGGAGCGCAAGCCACTAGATCGGTAGGAAGCTCCACTTATGGTTGCAGCTTACATTCACGCTTTATGGACTATTCGATCCATCGGAATGGTGCGCAAGCTGTAAGGTACACGAAATAAGTGTTTGTGTTGATGAATCTTTATTTTTTAAGGTAAAACCCAAACTTCTTGAATTAATGGATCCCTGGATCAGAGGACACGCTAAGCAGCACCTATTGCGTGAGCCGTGACCCCTACCATCCGATCGCGAAATCCCAGTTTAAAGGCAGACCTTGTCGGTGGAAGTTTGAAATGCAGTAATGCTCGGCACGGTCCGTCGTGCCCTCTGAGCTCACCTGACCTTTCGAGCGGCCCCTGCCACCTGCCGCACGCCATTCCAGTCAAGGCCAAGTAGCAGGCGTCTCATGCGGCTCGGACCCACCCCCATGGGTGGGTGGATCGGAAGGGTGGACTTTAACCAACTAAGCCATCGGGACGGGCAGTAGGGACGGACTTCTTCGTTTCAATGAGTCCATCACTGAAACACCAAGAAACTACTGGCTTCTAAGACCACTGGCAGTGATCAAAACGTCAATTCCAGTGAAGACTTCAAGTGACCAACTAGCCATAAACGCTGCAGATGAGATCGCCGTGCTCGGGTACTCCGGGCGTAGCACGTAGAACTAAAAGTGGAGAGCTCTTTTGATCCCATTATCACACTTCGGTCGAATGCGTATGCATATGCATATGCACCCGTTCTCATTCTGATGCACTTGCCGATAGCAGCTGTTACAGAGCTCTCCTTCATTACCGAGGTTGTTACGGCACATTATATGTGGCTGAATCTCACAAATAGATTAAACGGCTCAACCGACTTCCCTCATCGCTGAGCTATCTTCACTAAGCTCCTTCAGATAGCGGCGAGCCAAAACCTTGTACTTTGCACCCACTTTTCCACTAACGGGGCCATGATCCGGCAGATATTTTCGTTGCAGAGAAACCATGGTGCACAAACCAGCGACACCGACCACAGGCACGTCGGTGACCTAGGCAACATCGTGGCCGACTACAACGGTGTGGCCGAGGTCTACATCGCCGACCCCATCATCAGTCTGTTCCCGGGCGACCGCGACATCTTCCGACGGTAACTACCACGCTAGGGAAGATTGCTGCGCTACGGGGGAGGGGGGCGGGGGCGGAGCAAAAGTTTTCGACAGCGCACCTACGCGATTGCGCTAATCGCATTGATAAACAGCGAGATGATCGGCCACGCGCCTATGCGTTGAGTGATACAGTGTTAAATACTAAAGGCTCGTTTGCACCTCGCAGGCTTGCTACCGAATCCGCTGTAGTTTGTGTAGACATCACATGCCACAGGCTAGAGATGCCGTGCGCTCAGTGCCCGCAGGCCGGCGAAACGTGCAGCTTAACAACGCCAGCGGAGGAGCAAACCCTCTAGTCGGCAACAGCTGACGACTGTCGAGTTACTCGCAGCAGGTGGCACCGGCAGTCAGGCCCCAAACGACTTGTGCATACAGTTCTGCCAGCGACGCGGAACCAGCTGTCTTCTAAGAAGACGCTGACTTCCCTTGCCGCAGGTCGATTGTGGTGCACTCTGGGGAGGATGACCTCGGCCTCGGCGGCAACCCCGGCAGCCTCAAGACCGGAAACGCAGGCATGCGACTCGGCTGCGGTGTAATTGCGCCCAATAACGTTCTCTGATTGTGACGTCACAGCTACTGGATGGCGCGAACGCTGACGTCATTCGCTGCGCTCGTGCTGGTCACGTCGCCCGGTCCGGCTGTGTGTCAATGATGCAATCACCCTTTGGCACCTATTTTAAGACGCTTTGTGAAGTGCAGCTGCGACGGCGGAGCCTAAAGTCTTAGCGCATGCGTATCAGAAGCTATATCTTAACTGCGTTTGCTGCTTGGCTTCGCTGACATCACCATTTCATGTCACTGCACTGTTATCTTTCGCATTCGACAAACATTGAGAATTTCTTGTGGCGATTTTAAGCAATGGTTAGCCCGCTTGTATTGTGTGTAAAAGTAAAACGGCACGAAGATGTTGTTGCGGTGCGCTTGCAATCAAAAAGAGCGGTTAAAGGATGCTTAAAGTCGCTTGGGTGGCTGATCCGTGCTCAATAAACCTTGTGCCCGCCTTTCTCAGGCCGTGCGCCTCCTGCGTGTCGGCGCGAGGCCCGTTGGAAATCGGAGGTTTCTTGATGGCATGGATTCTGACCTCGTTTGGCGATTTCACTGTCGTTTATCCACTTGAAGAACGTGAAGGCGAGCCGTTGTCTAATTACGTGAGCCCGACGGGACCACAGCGGACGCAGACGGTCTGACGCTGCCAAACGGGTCACGCCCTTTTGACCCACGAGTTCAGCAGGTGGCGAAGGCTGTGTCATCAGGGAGAACCAACCCGTCTGAATGCGTGTGAAGCGCTATGTATTCAGTTTCAGTATTCACCCGAAAGGTCTAAAATACTCATCTATTGCACCCATTTTGGTAAGGCAAGCAGGGTCACATTCCGCGCTGCTCTGCTGATGAAGGGGTATTATTTTTGGGGTCTAGCCCTCGCCCAACACCGGATCTAAATTAAGCCCACCTAACTGTCGTTCAGTTGGGAGACTGCGTGCGGCAGCGAGCCGCTGTCTCAGTTGGAGGGTTAAATGTCCTTCCTCACACTCTGAGACCAATCGCAGTCCCGTGTCACGCCCGCCACGGGGACATACGGGCATTCTCAATGGCTTACATGAGGTATTGGCCGTTTTATCGGCTGTTTCAGGTGTGTAATGCGCAGAGCTAGTAATTTAGTATAGATTTGGGTCAAGCTTTAATCAACAGGTAGCACCAGACCTGGTAATGCGGTTTGCGTTCTCTGACTTCTCACGAGGGAAGTCGGGTCAGTGATCTGCGATAAGTATGACCTCATATGATACAATGCAATTACAAATTCATGTAGCAATGCATGCTTGAAGTCGTGAATTGCATAAAACTTGCGTGTCGGTGACTCGGATGTAATTTTTGACCGAAAGTCGTTCCTCTGTCAGACGTTGTACTGAACCGGATCCGGGACGTCACGTACGCTTCATTTTAACCGAATTTCAGCACTTATTACCTCAACCACTCACTAACATAGATAATAAGTAAACACCGCGCGCACATTGACCGGGCTGTGGGAGGTTACAAGTTAACGTCTTGAGGCCACTGATGCGTCGGCCTCAGCCCAAGACGGAGACGAGAGCCATAATGTCATTCACGCGGCCCTGCGTCACGTGTTTTTTTTTTGGGGGGGGGGGCGGGGGGCGATGCAGTGGCTGGAAAAGTCCCGATTGCTGAGGATTTCACGCGCCGGCAGATCATTTTTGTAACCTGGGAGGTCACCCGTTGACCGGAAACCAAAAATGGCGATACCACTGGAGAGTTAACACAAGTATCACAATATTGTTTAACGTAGCATTTTACCTTGCTTGGTTAAGAAGCACGCTGGGGTGGCTGGACGATTCGAAACCGCCGGGGGCAAGGAAGTCAGGAAGCGGCGGTTTAAGACCTATCCAACATCTAGGGTTAATTAACGTCGACGTCTTTCGCGCTGATTGCCGCGTGGGACGACGAAATGGCAGTCCGTCAGCACAGCAAGCAGTAACGCATCCCTATCACGCGACCCTTGCCGCGCTGTTGGTTGAAACGATTACTGGAGGCTGTTTTCAGGGGCTGGATGGTCGCACATTCGTATGAAATTCGTGACATTTGCCATCTGAAGGCTACTTTTTCGAAAAATTCCTTATTTTGGGTTGAGTGTTTACAAAGGTAGAGTCTGCAAACAGACTTGTGTTCGACTCAAGCTGACTCGTGAGTCGGCTCATGAGTCAATCGTTTTGGGGGAAGCCGCGAGATGAGTCGGCTCGCTAGAAAAATGTTGTTTTGAGCCATGCGCTGACCTGCATGCTTCGCAAATTTTATGCGTTTAATCGTGAATCGATGACTTCTAACGGTGTAGCGTCAGTGAGCCATATGGCTCAACTTAAAATGAGAACATGAGAAAGCACAGCACGCCCCAGACAAATTAGCAGACCATTTTAGAGTGCTTAAATGAACAGCGCGAAGCATAAACTGTACAAGCTTTTGCGAAAAGAGCACATATTTTGATATATAAGCAGCAAATGCAATGATGGTGATCCTGATCAAAAGCTTGCCAAATGTTAGTGAGGAACCAGAAGATCTTACATGGTACAGACAAGTTACGTTTCTATATCCAATGCCAAAATCAGTGGAAGATGATCTGCTATCTATAACATGCAAGGGCTTATCATACTTTGAATTCTCATTTGCTATAAAAGCCAGTCCATACGTGACCGCTCATTCTCCACTCGAACTGCCCGAAGTGTGCGATTGCGGAGGCTTTATGAAATAAAAGTAGTTTTGGGGGCCAATGCAGGGCCTCTTTTTCCCTCGACAAGCCTAAAGTCACTTCCGAGTGGGGCGACAACTGCTGCCGGGTTAAGGATAGGCAAGGATTACGTCAAACGGGCTTATGCTGTCCGATGCAAGGCAAGGGGAGGGTATCTCCATGTACGTTGCGTTAACCTGGCTCATTTTTGTCCAGAAAGATCATAGAAAGCAAAGCAAAGCATGGCAATCAATACATTTGCTTCACCACAACATAGTCAAAATTCAATACGCTTGAATGACAAGTGAGCCTCTTCACCGGCGCTTTCGCCGGGCTCCTCGGGCGCAGCGAGTTCTGTGTATGGTACCCTTGGCAGCGATGGCTTTGGCTCAGCTGACTTGGCTGCGACCTGTGCAATGGATGGATGCCGGGCCGCATTATTGCAACAACGGGGAGAGCAGCCCCGGGCTCCGCTGCCCGGCATGGCCTTGTGGTGCTGTGAGACGTTGTTTAGTTCTGGAAAGTCCTAACAAAGAAAAACCAGAACTCCTACCCAGTGGGAAAAACCTGCATTTTTGCCAAATTATGCAGGCAAAACCTGTAATTAAATGAAATTGTCTAATCCTGCACTGTGTAAAAAATGAAGAGGAGAACGAGCTAGTCAGGATGAGAGTCACCGAGGAGAGAATGAAGGTGAAATTGAACCTGATCACCGTTGGTGCAATTGATGAGCGAATGTCATGATCGGTGTTACACCGGGCACGTGAGCAGGAAGTGATGCAATGTGAATGGTATGTCGCAACGACGACGTCGGAGGAGTGCGCTCGAGGAGTTGGCAGTGAGTGATTTTGGTGTGAACTGCGAAGTCTGGCAAGCAGCACTTCCTTGAGGCGCTTATGTCGGTTAATTGTCGGCCAGCGCTGAAGCATGGGTTTGATGTGGTGAAGGTGGTGACGAGCGCGCTGATCCCATTCGGATTAGGGAAAGACGCGAACATGTAAATTGATGACTGCAAGAATATCGGAGTGGAGCAAGGAATGTTATTACGTTCCAGTAGCATAACACTTCGTTTTGCTTCCTCGGCAGCGGTGTTGTTTCCATGAATATTTACGTGCCCAGGAATCCAGAGAAATGTTACGTGAGTTTGGTGAGAAAGGACGAGCAGGGTGTTTGACATATACCGTTTAGAATTGGGTGGGATAAGTCATGAAGAGTGATGTGAGCTTGTAGCGACGAATGAGGGTCAGTTCATATGACACCCTTTGCATGCTACCTTGCTTGATGTGAAGCAGAGCTGCCAGGATTGCTGTTAGTTCAGCCGTATACACAGTATTGTAATTTGACGGGGAATTTGTTTAAGAGCAATTGTGGCGCATGCAGGCGGTCCCCGTGCGGCCATCGCGTCTAGAGCCGTCAGTATATATGAAGGTCTGTTGGTCATCCTCTTCTTGGAATTCACCGGAGAGTGCATGCACCTCGGTTCCCGACACGTTTCGTTTTTTTGTGTTTAAATAGCAAGATTGCCTCAGGCACAGAGTGGCTCCAACAGTGCCGGGGACTGAGAGCTGGGCTGCAGGCAATGTCCGGGAGATTAAGCGCTCGTCGCGCTCAAATAACGCGGGTGCTGATGGTTGAGCTCTAAAGTTCCGCGTTCGGAAGTGTGCGGTTGGGGCGGAGGTGTGCGAGGGTGTTGTGTGTTGGGTTATCAACGTGCGCCGTGGCGCGTGCGTAAAATATGAGAAGTTGTTGTTTTGGCCGGTGTGATGGGGAAGGAAAATTCGCGTCTGTGAGCATATTTGGGATCAGGGGGATACGCCATTCACCAGCGACTGTGCACTGTGTATCAAGTGCACCAGTCATTATGTGGAGAGCAGCATTCTGGGTGGTCTGCAGGGTTTCGAAATGTTGAAAGAAAATTGATTAAAAAAAAGGCCATTGCAGTCCAAGTTCGGACGTATCAGGGGGTAAAGGGGAGAGGGAGGGCGTGTCTGTCGACGCCCCACTTCCGCCTTGCTATGCATTTTTTTAGGTTCAGCCGTTGCCTGAGGTCAGCAAAATAAGCATTGAGAGTAAGACGACGACGTAATGTTACTCAAAGGTTTTTAAAACTGTGAACTAGAGGGCGTAGAAGTACACCATTAATGCGTAGGTGGGTGGCAGGCTGAACTTTTTTTCCCTAGAAAAGATAAATACAACTGACTTTGCCGGGGGGGAATTTGCAGTCCCCACCGTGTAAAGCACGCTTGGATATCATTTATAGCTAATTCGATATACTACAATGCGTGATCTACATTAGCATGCGTATACCACACAGCCAGGTCTTCCACATGTAGAGAATATTAAAAACATGGAGAAATGTGATTAATTTGATTGGAAACGTTATTTGGCATAATGAGGGGGAGGGCTGGAGATCAGACACTGCCCTGAGGAAGACTGTGATCCTGCGCCGTCGGAGGAGAATAAAGGTTTCGGCAATGCACAGAAAAATCCTATCAGTTAGGATATTTTAATGAAATCGGCGAGTCGACCTCGAACTCCGATTTCAAGTAGCTTAATGAGCGGAGCACTTTTAGGAACACCCTGATACATCTGTTCACCATTTGTTCGGATATTTTAGAAGCACAGCCAGTAAGGGGGATGGGACGATCGCTCCAAGGCTCAGAGGGATATTTTTTAAAGTGTTGAGATAAGTGTGCTAGAGCGTCATGAGGGAGGGAAGAATCCGTAACTCACATACCATTGAAAGCCGACAGAATATTGGTGAGTCCAGACCT